AAGCGTGGGAATTTCCTTCTGAAATTAGCAAAGAGATTCACAGTGGTGGATGGGGAGGAAAGGTTTGAGAAGTTGGAAAGAGAGAGAGAAAAAAAGAAATGGAATTAGGCAGCGCTGGGTTGATGAAGAGATGCAAGTTCTTAGATGACTGAAGATCACCAAAGAGGAATCAGCATGTAGTTCCACGGGAGGACAATGCAATGTAGGATCTTGATGAAAGGGAGAAGAGGATCTAAAGGCGCAAGAAACACAATTCAGGTTTTGCTAACTATGAGAAGTGACCAGCTAAGTTTTAATTAGAGCCCTTGATTATCTCTTTGGGTAATTTAGGAACAGTTAATTGTAGGAGAAGCACATTGTCATTTTAGTAGAGGGATTGTTTAATCTCAAAATGATAATCATGACATTAAAAAAGGGCTACATTTCATCCTCCTTTGAAGGCAGAAACCAGAGGGAAGAAAAGAAGATCTGTTTGTATGTATTAGCTGCATTCTGCCGGATTAGTCATCTGATAGAAAATCAGTCTTTCAAAGAAACTGGTGTCTTTCTACCTTTGTTATGTTAAGAATAAAGTTAATACAGTTCAAAGAAGGCCCTTGCTTTCTTTATTTTGTCTCGCCAGTTTTGAGAGCTCTTGATAGTGAGGCCTGGTTTAGTTCTTGAATAGGAGATCATCAAAAAACCCATGGTTGTAGGCTAGACTAGGAATTCAAAAAGTTGCCAGAATACAACAGTGGCAAACTAGTTTTATATTATTGCCAAGAGAACTTTCTTGACATGTCCATGAGGCCCCAGAATTAAGCCTGACTTGAAGAAGGATTTACTTTTATATCTCTTTTCTATGATTTTAATATCATGCAGAACAATTTGCCAATAGAGATACAGCTAAAGCTTATGTCAGAGGAATGTGAGAATGACAACCTATTTTTCTATAACACAAGTTATAAAACACCACTAAATTTGTTTGCCCTTCTTAGTGACCTTCCCATCCAGTCCTCATGCAAGCTACAATTTTAGAAAAATTAAATGAGATATCTGAATGTCAGAAAGAGTAGGGAGAAAGCAAAGATAAAAATTTAATGTCCTATCAGAGATTGGTTATAAGGCCGGATGCTCCAAATAATGTAAATGTGCTTTGCAGCCAACAGCAACTTAGGGAATGTCATGACAGTCACAGAGCTGTGCCTTAGCTGTGAAATATTAGAAGAAAATACACAGTAAAAGAAATAATTTATTAGATCATATTTGGAAGAAAAAGATTGTGGTAACATTTGTTTTCTGGGGATAAGGAATTCTGTGTAGTTAAATTTCACTCCATTTCTCATTTCCCAACCTCATTTCCCCAATCTCAGCCTTACTCTTTATCAGTCTCTGATTCTTTTAAAAAATAAAAAGTGCATATGAAAATCATAGATATCTTTTGTCTGCATTTCTTTAACATATGCCTTACATAGTAGTAACCATAATAACCCCATCCCTTTCACGTGTTTTGCATTTTAAAGTATTTAACCATTTAGTGTGCTTTTGGTTTTGTGGTATTTCAAACAAGCCATGTATTTGTTCACTGCAATGGAATTCATAGGAGTTTTTCACTTCTGTGTCTTTACTAAACATGGAGCATTGTGATTTCAATAGGCAGGAAGTCTCTAGTCCTCATTATTGCAAATGTAAGCATTAATATCGTCTCTTCCAACATGCTAGAATGGTGGAACATGGACAAATTGCATGCAATTAAGCCACTGCCCACATGTTCAGCATGTGTAATGTATTTTTAGCTGCAGTTTGTCACATGTGATGTACAGTATACACAGGTAAACAGACCATATATGGAAAAGGACAGATTTCCCTCCCTCGCACCTCTGTTAAATCTCATCTGCATAAATGTGTCTTCTAGGCCATTTTGATATATTTAAGTACCTCTTATGGGATACCATGGCCTACCACATAATAAAAAAATCTTTAAATTCAGTGGTCCTGTTGTGTAATGAAAACGTGGCAGGCACCGCATTACAATTGTTTCTCCTTCTTCTTTTTAAGTACTCAGCCATGGAATGATCAATGGCTCACTCGTAAGGGCACTGCTATGCTTCACGGCCCTCTCTGCCTATTCTGTTCAGTTGTTGCAACTAATCTCTGCATTATTGTGACTTTTATAACAGACATATAAACTAAAGTCAGGTTTTCATTATACAAATTGAAGGCTTCTTAAATACTTCTCAGAGCTTTTATTACTAATGCACACACAATCAACATATATCTTATCCAAGACCACACAACTCTGCATCTTTATCCACCTTTCTCAAAGGAACAGCACAGATAGAAATTGGACTTGCAGCTGCACAGTGGTAACATCATCACAGCTAACACAATTATCATCATAACAGATTATCTATCTATCTATCTATCTATCTATCTATCTATCTATCTATCTATCTATCTATCT